TATATATATATATATATAATTAACCAATATATTAATTATGTATATTAAATTATAAAATACGGATTTTCTTCATTTATTAAACGTAAAGAGAAGTTTTCAAGTAAACAAAATTATTATTAAGCTTAAAAACATCTTAAAAATAAACATATATTAACTATAAATGACTGAAAACAGTCCTGATAGTTGAGACATTTCAATAAATCTAATGCAGTTTATCAATAACTGACAATAACACACATTTAATATATGATATATATGACATAAATCAGGTTATTAAATACATATAACGTGTAAAATCACTCGTGTTTGCCTCTGATATTCCTCCTCCATCGCGTTCACACTTGTACGTCTGGTTTAATTTGTATATTTTGCTCTGCAGCCGTCCTGTTGTTTGCTTTCTGTGAGGGTTTTCTGTCTCTGACTGCTTTTATTGACTTTATGAAGATGAGTCTCTGTCCCTTCATTGTGATTCTGGAGGAACTGCCGCTGTCCCGCTGCCATGTTCCTCTCTGTCGCTCCGCCTGTCTGCTGCTGATTAGACTTGGCGTTAGCGGTAGCATTAGCCTGTCCAGTCGTTCCCTATGGGCCTGTTGTCTCTTTTGGCAAGCTAGCAGCTAATCCAGACTGGATGCTAATGAACTCTGGCTAGTGTCCACCTCGTTCCTGTAGAGACGTCTGTTTCTATAAAGCCCGCCGGCTAACCGGCTAACATGCCATCGGTCCACCGGCCAAAACAGACGGACCGAAAGACAAACCACCTGGAGGAAGCTAACTGGACTCCTGCTAGCTGTTAGCTGCTAATAATACTGGAATATGGAAAACAGGGTGAACCAGGAGTGTGTTCATTTACTGAATCTGGTTTTAAACATAAAACTATTCACTGCAAGTATAGAGAGGTTATTTTATTTTTTGTTTTTGGCTCCAAACAGAAACATATTCAGAACCACAGAATCAATAAAAAAATGTTCTTTTATGTTGGATTCTTGTACCAAACACAGATTTTAAGTCATGAAAATCTTTCTGTATCTTGGCTTTTCAAACTATATTTAATTCATAGCCAACACATTTAATCAAAAACAGAGAATAAATCTTCTTTGTGGAGTTCTCCCACAGTTTGTTCACCTTTTTTAATGTCAGTTTCTCAATAAGACGGATCTCTTTCACACACAGACCTCAGGTTGTGGGAGGATTGTTTCATCATTTTATGTGTCTGACTTTCCCAAAGTGATTGAGAGTTCGATTGGTTGGAGTTTGTTAAGTAAAGATATTGGCATATGAATGCAGAGTCTGTAAAGAAAACTGACTGAAGATGAAGTTATATTCAACATTTTAAGTGATACAAACTCAAATTTTGTAAGTTAAAAACATTCATTATCAAGCAGATAATGATATATAATAAATAAATAAAATAATAATAATAATAATAATAATAATAAAATAAATAATAATGATACAATCTCAGTTTTCACTAGACACTTTATTGATTTAACTTTCTAATCTTTATTTGCACTGTGAAAACAAAATACCTAGTAAAAAGTAGTTAATCAGGAATGTTTCTGTAAAAACTGTCACTTAACAATTTGTAATAAGTTTCAATGTGTTTGAGTTAAAAAAATGCTTATCACTAAGTATTCACTAAATTAGATGCAAATTTTCCATGTAAGTTTATTACATAAGTGCAACGTGCAGTGTTGGAGAGTGACAGCGTCCGTATGGGATTTGGTAAAGTTACATTTGACTTAAACACATTGCTTAATGTTTATGTGAATCATTATTTGTGTGTTTTGTTTTTTACAGAAAGACGTATACAGACCTGTTGTGTTGTTCATTGTCACTTTTTTATGTCCATATATATCTTTTTGTATATGCATATTATAGTTCTGTTTATTTGATATACAGTCATTGTTCTTTTTAGCTGTATATTTATTTTTTTTGTTAACATTAGACATTAGATGTGATGAGACAGTAGAAACCAGAGTCAAGTCCTTGTATGTGTTCACGCTGATTTTGGTTCTGAAACTGCTGAAAACCCACAGGGTTGGGGTGTGTTTGTTTTCTGCAGTCGGTCTGTCCCAGCCGGGTGGACACTTCAGCCCTCATGCTGTAAAACGCGATGAGTTAGTTCAACTTGAACCATTTAAGTTTATTAACTCAAACAATTTAAGCATCAAAGATTAAAGTACAAGTAACTCAAGTTTTTATTGTTAAGGTAACTGGTAAATTAAGTTAATTGTACTAATTCCATTCAGTTAACTGAAGGTAAAACTAGAAACTATTCCACTCATACGCAGTAATTTTACCAACAAGTTGAATTTACTCAGTTTTCTTCCATTAGAGCAAATTATTACATTACCTGTCAAAACAGCTTTTAAAAACAATTTATACATGATTCATTATGAAGATGGCAGCAAATTCATTTTCTCTCTCTTTATGTACAAAACTAAGTGTAATTTAAAAATACAAGTAAAAGTTGTTTCATCAAGAATCTTTTTTAACTTAAACTTAATTTGTGTTGCTTAAAAAATCAGTTTGAGGTAAAATAACTTATTGCATTGCAGTGAATAATTAATTGGATACTTATGATGATTAATAAACTGAATTAAAAACAAAAATGTAAAAACACTGAACTATTCAGCATTATAATATTTTTTTATGATATTAAGTCAACTTAAATAAAATGAGTCAATAATTAAAATACTGAACACATTTAAGTTCACTCAAAACAACACAAGTCACAACAATAAATTTTTTAGTTGGTTTAATTCATGTGAATGATGCCTTTCATCCGTCTCTTCCTCTTGTCTTCCTCCATCTATCTCCCTCATTCATCGTCTTCATCTTGCATCTCTCCCATCCCTTCCATCCCCTCCTCCCCCTCCTTCACCTCCTGCTGCTTTTAAACACAAATATAGACCTACACATAGTAAAACTCCTCTTCCTCCTCCTCTCTTTCCACTTACTGTCTTTTTCTCCCCCTCTCAGTCGATATATTCTCACTCCCTCCTCCCTCTCGCTCTCTCAATCCATATCTTTTCACCCCCCTCTGTCTCTCCCTCTGTCTCTACTCTCTCTTCCAGCTTTTAGATGCAGAACTTTGTGTCTGAATTTGGCTCATTCTGTGTGAGTGTCTCATCTATCATGCATGAGTGTTAAATTATAAACTCTGGGTCACTGCACCGCCCTCCGCTAACATCCTCTGCCTCTAAACGAGAGACATAGACACAGTAAGAGAGAGAGAGAGTTAACAGTAGATGGATATCAGGTCTCGATGTTATCGGGGAACACACTGAAGATGTCCAACTTTCCTGCAGCGGGACTTCATGCTGTCATCCTGCAAGTCAGCGGTCTCTTTAAAAGTCTTGTCACAGAGCTGCTGGTCTCTGTTATGGATCCTGGTTGGAGTTTATATCAGGTTGTTGGAATCTACAGAAAGTCCAAGATACATTTTTTATCTTGTGCTCACAAGATATGAAGCTTATTTGCACAAGATACCATATTATTATTAGAACTTTTGCATACAAGATAAGATAAAGAAAAAGTTTCAGGACTTTTGAGGCCGGGGGGTTTACAGACTGACTTGACTGACTGAGTCTGACTTGTGCCACATGTAAAAAACTGCATGGTATTAGCATAAAGTGTTTGTAAAGTGGAGACCCATAGGTACCCATAGGACCCATTTTCATTCAGATATCTTAAGGTCAGAGGACAAGGGATCCCTTAGAAAATGGACATGCCAGTTTTTCCATCGCCAAAATGTAACCTAACTTTGGAGCATTATAACTTTGAAGCCCCCTTCGCAACATGCAAGCATGACACAGTTGGAACCAATGGATGGGTTAGGTCATGTAGTTTGAAATGATACCAGTATCTTCACTCTAGTTTATAAACAGAATCAGTATGAAATCCACTCTCTGAATCACAATCCTTTCAAATCTCTTGATGTTTTTGTCAATTGTCAAAAGAACTCAGATTTAACTGATGATTGTAACTCTGTTTTGTTGGATTTTGTTTTACATGTTGTGGCATAAATTGTAAAATAAGGTTATGATATGACTGGGAATGTTATCTTAAAGGGTTCAAAAGACATTTTTAATTGTATGTGGATAACAATTAACAGTAAAACAATCTGGATATCCAGTAACTGATATAATATATACAGATTACCAGTTAATTCATTGGACTGAGATAAATGTACAACAGTCTCTCATCTGCATATAGAGTTCCTTATAATGTAGGGATGAAGGAACAAACCAAAAAGCAATGGTCCAAAGATTGGACACCAGTCTTTATAGCTAGGCTAACTCCAGCCTGACTCCAGCTCTGTGAACACAGAAATGTTCCCCAGGTTCTGGGGTTAGAAGTTTCTCCAGGATTTGTTTGGGTTTGTTGTTCCCTAAAATACCGGATTTCACAACAGCTTTTCTAAAACACTGCAATGCTTGTTGTTTTGGTGACTTTTTTTTGCAATAAAATATATAAAAACTGTTTCTATTGTTATTATTATTATTATTATAGTTATTATAGTTTGTATAAATATTTTACTAAAATGTTTTGTGATGGTCGGGGGTAAAAAAATATTTCAAAGAAGGTACATTAATGAAACAGTTTGAGAACCACTGATTTATTGTATGTTTTGAATCAAAATAAATAAAGGTTATGTTAAGAAAAAAAGAGCTTGTGAACTGGCTGCTGTGGATATGAATCACACTGAAGCACCTGGCACTCAGGTGTGGCAGGGCACCGCTAAGCTAATCTAGGCTAACCATGAATCATTCATCGAGAAGGAACTCTTATAAATTAGACATGAAACAAACACTTAGCTGCTGGCTACGTTAGCACCAGTTTTCACTTGTTTGATGCAGAGAACACAAACCATCAGAGTTTCTTACTGTCGTCTGATTGGTTAACAGCATCTGACTCACTGATTAGCTGCACAAAGGATAGAGCATTAGAGAAAATAACTTGTTTTCAAAAATAACAATGTATGCAGTGATGTTTTCATCCTCACTGCTGCTGTTTAATGTTCAGAGGAAAATAGGTTTCCCTCCATACATCATCATTACATTATATACATCACCACAGTCAGAGGTTATTAGTTTTTCTCTCTGGAGGCTTCAGACCAGACTATTACAGGGAGGAAGAGGATGATATTGGAGATGACGGAGCGCTGTTGTGTGGTGTTTGTTGATGAGATGAGTTTTAAACTTACGACCAATGACGGGGAGCGACTTCTCGGTTTGAGAGCAAAATAGAGAGCGGATGGCGAGACAACAGAGGAATGAAAACACCAAATGGTAGTCTCCCTAAAAGTCCACTGGCTTTAAAAACAG